CATGGCTTTTTTCTCAGCGATACCATCTTTTGTTCTGTCCTCTCCTACCTTTCTCCTTCTATCTCAAAGGTGCGTCTGCTTATGTCTTTTTGAATAGGCTTCGAGATTCTGGTTGGAATTTTGGTTTCAGCTAATATCAAAAGTATCATTGTGTTAATTTTTTGATTGGACAAAATTATTTTATTTTCGGGCGTTTTTTTTTTTTTTTTTCTTTTCACTCACAAATTAGTAGACTCTGCTCCTGCTAACTTCCGGCATTTTTCGGCCGGGTTCAGACTTTACTCCTTCTTCCTCTTTTTATTTAAGAGTTGTCTTCTCGTTAACTGAGAGAGAAGTATAGAAGGAGAAGTTTAGAGAGAGAGAGAGAGAGAGATAAGTGATTTAAAGAAAAACGCAAATGCCTTTTATTTCTATAGGGACTCACTACAATCCTTTTAAACTCTGTGAAACCGTTTTACACTTGGCGATACACGTATATTTAAATCTGAAATTTAGAGTTCGTAAAAATGATAGAGGGAAAGCGAATAAAACCTTTTTTAATATGGCATTGATAACATTAGGTTATTGACAGAGACATTTTTATGGAAAGTGGTTTAGCAGAAGCAGCAGATGTCATCGGAAGAAATATGGAATAATATTTACAAATGGAATAAAAATAACTTACATAGCAAAATGATCCTTGTTAGAAGATTGATCATGATGTGTTTCTATTGCCAGTCTTCTTGTATTTGTTTCAACAGATCAAAGACACATAACAATTGAAAACTTTAAAATTGTGACTTTTCAAACTTTTTCACTTGTAACCCCTTTTGATAAGAAAATTTCTTTTGTGACTCTTTACTAATTGTTATAAAAGTAATACTACTGACACTTCTACCATACTTACTATTTTGATGTAATTTTACAGGAAGCAATAAATATTTGTGGAAAATATGCAATCAAAAATTTAATCTATAAGTCCATTAAAATAAATTTCTAAAAGTAAAACCAAAAATGAAATTTATTTAAAAAATAAAAAAAAAACATTTAGTGTATAGCATTGCACTTTATTCCATTGAATGCCAGAAATGAGTAAGACATCTTTGAAAAAAAAAAACAGCTTAGTAAGTTTTGTGGGATTCCAGTAGTACTTTTATGGACACCACTTGTGCTACCCACGTTTGGAACCACTGCTGTATACTTATTTCCCAGAACTCATTACCAAATCTTAAATTTTAATTCACATATAACTTTGTTGTGGTTATATATATATATATATATATATATATATACATACTATGAAAATCAAAAAAAATTTCATCAATGAAAAGTGCATATAGAAAAGAAAAATCAAGAAGTATAAGCAGTCAATTGCTGATACCCCCCTGACGAGTGGATGGAGTGATTCCTAGAGGTTTCATCTACAAAACTGTATTTAGGATGCTGACGGTAAGATCATTCAGCTAAATGACAAACCTTTTGATAAGAAAGTTTATTTAGCGACTCTTTACTAATTGTTATAAAAACTAATACTACTGACACTTCTACGATATTACTATTTTGTTGTAATTTTACAGGAAGCAATAAATAGAAGATAAATATTTGTGGGAAATATGCAAGCAAAACTTTAATCTATAAGTCCATTAAAATCACTTTTTAAAAATAAATTACTAAAAGTAAATCCAAAAAATGAATCTATTTTTAAATTAGTGTATAAACTTTTTCACACGGGATCTCTTTTGTAAGAGAATGTATTTTGCAACTCCTTACAAATTGCTATAAACTAAATACTAATATAATATAAAATATAATAAAAGTAATATTACTAACATTTGCACCATATTACTCTTACAATAAGAAACAAATAAAGACTAAACAAATTCGTCAAATTTGAAACGTAAAAGTTAAGGAATAATTTCAAGTGTTCATTAAAATTTCTTAAATAGCAATAAAAACGAACTTTTTTTTTTAAATTCATGTATATCATTTAGCTATTTTGCAATAAAAACCAGAATGATTAGAACATTTTTGTAGAGACGGACAATATAGCATACACTTTGTTCATTCAGTTAACGGATTCCTAGTAGAACTTTTGTGAACATTATGCGTAAGACTGAGCATATCGGATAAACGGTTATATTCCTATTTCTTAAAACCGATTCCCAAATCAGAAATACCACGCTTATTAAAAAAGAAAGTAACTTAGACGGAATATTCTTGAGATTGCTGCTACTGTATCTTACCCAAATATAAATCTGCGTTTCGGATTTTTTTCAAAGAAATACTTACTTCTTAAGTTCTTCCAAGCCAACACATCAATCTGTTTTAAATTAAAAGAAAACGGTTGAATTCAAAACCTTTTTATTTAAAATATATGACATAAATTAATTTCAAATTAAAACTTTATATATAATAATTACATTATAAACAATAACAACATATACTCACCTTCATTTATTAAATATCAAATTCCATCACTTAGCATCTTCCATAATTTACCTTAACTTTCATTAAGCCTTATGCATATTTATGACCGTTCTTTTTTTTAAAAATTAGCAGAAACCCGTGTCTCCACGAATACAAACGGGAATCTTCTCACAGATACAAAATATCTGTTATAAAAAAAATCATCTACGGAACCAAAAGAATTTTTTCTTCGGATACATACTATAAAACGAACTAAGCAACATTAAACAAACACTTATCAACAATAACATCCCTAAGCATGTCGTTGATGAACAAATTAAAGTAGCCTTAAGGAAATTTAGAAAAAAATAACACATATCTGATATAAACCCAGATTATAAACAGAATGAAAAAACAATTAGAAATATAATTCGCTGTTACATAACACTTAATCCTAACAAACACTTTTAGATCAAAGGCGTCAAATTCATTTCGATTCGGGGGTCGGGGTCACATGAGCTCAATTTTACATCAAGTCGGCCGGAGATGTACAGAAAATGTCAAGATGAAGAAAAATGTATTGTTTGTATTCAATAAAAAATTGTTACATGTTACTAATTGTTACTAATGCAATACAATACTTTAAAATGAACCAAATTACATTGGATTCTTTACAAAACATTCTAACAATCAGAAAGCTAAGCTTTTATTTTAACTTTCTGACAATATTAGCCATTTAGTAAACGTATGTGATCCTAACACTTGACACCTTTTAGTCTTGACAAGTGCATCAATATTAGGAGAGATTTCCTGTGAAGCAGCTAGTTTCAGGATGTCATTTAAGTTTTTGCTTGTTAGCCTTGAACGTAGCTTGTTTTTGTTGATACTCATTACTGAGAAAACTTGCTCACATAGGTAAGTAGTTCCGAACATGTACAAAATTTTGGCAGCTAGGTTTCTCAGCTTGTGACAGCCAGAAAAATACTTGAATATTTTGAGGCTAACAGAGGTAAACTTTTCTTTCAAGTTTGAGTCACACTGCAAATTAATTATCTCGAGTGGCATATCAGTTGGCCCATCAGAAGGTGTCACAGAGAATGGACTACAAAACATTTTGTCTCCAGTTCATCAAATACTTCAAAGTGCCGCTCGAATTGTTGAAGTAAACTGGAAATTTTCTCTTTGTATTGGCCCAAGTCCTCAGCACTTCCACCATTGCAAAGATCTTTTCGACATGGAAAATGAGCAGGATTGTTGTTTGACAACTGCATCTCCCACAAAACAAGTTTAGAATTGAAGGCTTGTATGTTGTCATAATATTGTGTGACAACTTTGTTACGTCCTTGCAACATTCTATTCAGATTATTCAAATGGTCGGTTATATCCACCATAAAATCAAGGTCCTATACTCATCCCGGGGACTGTAATTGGACCACAGGCTTCCCTTTTATTTCCATGAAGTTTACAATTTCCCCCCGTAGTTAAAAAAAAAAAACAAAAAAAAAATCAACGCTTCAGTACAATACCTCGACTTAGTCATCTTACTTCAGTATGGTATGGCGAACCATGGCCAACATCATTATCATTAAGAAGAGAGTCAAATTGACGATGGTTGACGCCTCGTGCACGTATGAAGCTAACAGTTTTAACAACAACTTTCCTCACATGGTCCATTTTCAGTGACTTGCAGCATAATGTCTCTTCATGGATAATACAATAAAAAGTCCAGAAGCCTAGCCCCTTATTTGCAGTATGCACTTTCTCCTTTAATTTCGCTACAACACGAGCATTTTTTCCAACCATCGAAGGTTCACCATCTGTAGTAACACTAACAGCACAAGTCCAATCTACTCCAACATTATCCAATACACCAACAAGGGAACCAAAGATGTCATCAGTTTCTGTCATTTCTGTCTTTGATACCAACTGAACAAACTCTTCAGTAACTGTTAAACTTGCATCAAATGCACAGATGAAAATTGCAAGCTGAGCAATGGCTGTAATGTCAGTACTTTCATCAATAGCAGCTGAAAAAGAATGACAATTTTTCCTTGAGTTGACCATCTATATCAGCTTCAAGGTCTGAAATACGATCGGAAATGGTGTTCCTTGTCAAGCTTATATTAGCAAAAGACTGGAGTTTTCGGGACACAATTTCGGTAGCCTTCAGCAAATAATTCTTCACAAATTCACCATTCTTTAGTAATGATGTAGTTGGCTTTTACAACCGCATTACTAACCTCCGTGCTATGACTGTAAATGGACTGCTGCTTCTTTAAACCAGACAACAATTTCTTTACTTTGCCCTGCAAATTTCTGAATTTATCGTTATGGTGACTATCATAGTGCCGGTGAATGTTATATTCCTTCATAACAGAAATTTGCTGCATGCATATTAAACAAACAGATTTTCCATTTACAGATGTGAAAAGATATGAATCTGTCCACTTCTCTTGGAATATTCTGCATTCTGTATCAACCTTTCGTTTTTTTGACAATGACATGGTGAAAATTTAACCGAATTTTAAAAGCAATGGCACAATATACTTGACACAGGTAATATGATAGACTGGTTTCCGAAATGCCAAGATATATTATTAATCGCAATCTTCTCGTTACTGCACAGAGAGAGAGAGAGAGAGAGAAAGAAAGAAAGAAAAGAGAGAGAAAAGGGAGAGAAAAGAGAGAGATAGAGAAACGTAGTCATTTGTGGTTTTAGACGCGTGGCCTATTGTCGTCTCGTGCAATACAAACCTTTGATGTAATGCCGAATTGACCGGATATTTCCTGTTTGCCACATTAGACAATGTGAATAAACTGCGGAGCTAATCTCTTAAATGACAGCTAGTACAGTACAGGCGAGAAAAACATCGCTAGGTTTCGGTTTGTTCAAAATTGTTTCAAAGGCCACACTGAAGCCCTTGGCGGGCTGGATTCGGACTGCGGGTCACACCTGCTTTAGATTTATCATCTATTACAAAAAGTTTTTAAAAAGTTGTTTATGAATTCTCATGTCCTCTGGGGGATTGCATATCCAAATTTTTACATTGGCCACACATGTATCATATTTTCTCGTAGGTTAACGTATCACCTGAAACTCAATGCAATTTGTATATATATTAAGCAGCATCTGACGAAGAAGCAAAATATGAATATTAATAAATATTAGTGGATAATAGCAAAATATACAATGCAAGGAAATCTCCAAAGCTCTAGAAAAGCTATTATTATATAAAATAAAAGTAAAAATCCACATTAAATAATATATGTTTCACCACATGAGGCGGAATCTAAAACTTTTAGCACAGAACTTACAGTTACATCTCGCCATTTCAAGTGTAAAATAAAGGGACTCAGCTGCCAATCGAGTATAGCCCTTAAATTCGTAAAGTTGTGTTACCAAAGATGAGAGCTCATCAGAACAATTACCTTGATAATATTTCTGATATCCAAAGAATCTGCAATGTTATCGACCCTGACCTGGCAAATAGGCTTTAGTTGCTTTCCCACTGCCTCTAATCACGATGCCTGGGTGATTAGCTTTGCTTGTTCTGTGTGTGTAAAGTCCCACAAAAATTGTTACAGGTCCGTAACCGGGTCTGGGTGGAGTTAATTCCAATTCATTGCAGTTTCCTTTCCGTAAAAGTTGCATATTTTCCAATGCAGATATTGGCCGACTCTGTCATACCGGCTTTATATTAAGTAGGTGCCAATACCATGCAATTATTATTATTATTATTTTTTCTTTTGATTTCTGTTTTATACGCATTTCCTTCCGGGTCCTAATCAGGGACCTAAGGTAAAAATGACCCCACCACATTTTCTACTGAAAATTTTTGTGAAAAAAAAAAAGAAAAAAAAGAAAGAAATAACAAAGATCCCCGATATTTGACATAGACAAATCCCTTTGTAACGTGTGAGCTTTACTCGTGAGTACAAATTTTGTATTTCTTTAAATAAGGCATGCGCTACCAGGGTTCCCTTCGATGAGTCTACCGGAAAGTTTTCCAATTATTCCGGGTCCTCCAACTACAACTGGAATGACTGATGTCCTCATGTGTCACATTTTTGAGATTTCAACTTCAAGATCTTTGTACTTTGATAGTTTTTTTTTTTTTTTGAAGATCTTCAAAGATTCATTACAGTCTGCATGAACTCCCATGTCAGTAAGAAAGTACATTTTGTTTTTGTGGTCTTTGATCATGATGTCTGTGCGATTAGCTTTAATTGTTCTATCTGCGTGTATTATAAAGACCCATAAAGTTGTTACAAATCCGTTCTCTCTAACCGGGCTCTAGGTGGTGTTCATCCCAATTTCTTGTAGTTTCCGTCCAGTAAAATTACAGATTTTCCAGTGAAGCTATTTACCAACTCTGCCATGCCGAGTTTTATATTCAGCCGTAAAGATGCTAATACCGTGCAGCCTGATGCAAGATGGTCAATTGTTTTTGTATATTTATCACAGAATAATGTGAACCAGAACTGATGGTTCACATTATTCTGTGATACATATGCTTGGTAATTTCTATTTAGCAAGCATTTGTCTTGTTCAGCAGGAATAAAAGTTTCAGTTTCAGCTTTTAATCTTACACTCCGGAAACACTGATGGATAACGGGGCTTGGTACGGTCAGAGTATTAACCATAAAGAGGCTTATTTTACCACCGTTTCGGCATTTGCCCATTGCATTTGCTGCTTTTATGTTCTTTACCATTGCAGCAGATTTATTAGGATTTACTTGCACTTCTTCACCCACTTGAAATTCCATTTTGAATTTGTTGGATTTCTTTATTACTAATTAAAGTTTCTTATTTTTTTGATGTTATTTGACACAAATCATCATCCAATATTCTGTAGTTTCTAGGTATCTTTGAAAACCGATTATTGTAGTTTTGTAAGACAGTTCTAGTTGAACTAATCCTCTGCCTCCTTCGGATCTGGACACATACAGACGATCAAAATTAGCCTGAGGATGATGCATGCGGTGGCAAGTGAGAAGCTTTCTCGTTTTGGCAATGTTAGGCTATAGTTCAGTTAAGAATATTGAAACTGTATTGCACCACAGGGACAGCCAAAGTGTTTATGGATGATATTGTTTTGATATTTTTTGTGAATTTACCTCGGTATTTATTATTATTATTATTATTAATATTAATAATAATAATAATAATATTTATTAATTCTATTTTACTAACAAATGCATTATCTCAAAATCTTTACATTATTTACATTATTCGGACTATTGTCCCCATCTTTGTCGCCATATTTATCATAACGTTTCGGCCGCTGTACGCTCTGGCCTTCTTCAGGTGGTTGGAATGTCGAACTGAACCCTTTATTTCGACAGACTCAAAATATTTGTTTAAAAAATGTTTTTAATGTTTTTTGGTTTATTCACGTATTTTCTCACGGTTCCTTCCTAAAAATACAAAGACGAAACTTGAAATTCTGTTTTTTTTTCCTCATACACCAATGCAGTTCTATCTTACACCGAGAATATAGTCAAGTGAGAGAGAAAACCAGAAACTAAAAACAAAACTATTTTATTCATTCGTTCCTTTTTTTTATATAATCACCTGTCTAACCCATAGAGCTTTTTCTAATATGGCAGTAAAATGTCGCCTGTTTTTAACAAAGTGGAAACCGGTAAGTCTGACAAAAATGACGTATTGCCAGACATTTATGAGCTGAAAACTATGGTTAAACAAATATCAATCAATATATAACTCTATGTATCGCAAACCTAAGACTAAAACTTAAATTTGCAATGAACAATAACGACGGTATTGTAATGTACATTAAGTGTGGTGGCAAATAGCCGACTTTGCTATCTCCCTGGGAGAGGGCAGCTTCAATAAAAAAAAATAAAAATAAAAAAACTGAAACCACAGGACCTTATTGCCAACTTTCCACCATGCTGATTCACGGCAAGTAACACTCTGGCTTGAAGTCAATTAAGCCAACGCCGCGCTGTACTTTAACCCGTCACTCATGTAAGCCTGGGGGGGGGGGGTAACATTCTTGCAGAATGCAATTTCTCGGCCAAAAGCACTTTCCAAAATCTTCCCAAATGACCGTAGGTCCGAAAACTTTTCAGCAGTGCTTGTGTATATTAAGTCAATTTCGATTTATATTTATATATCATTCTATTCCGTACTTTTTCTCAAATTTTTACACCGCACTTTCACCGTTCCGCACCCAGCGGCCATTATTCTTTATGCGCGCAGATAGGCAAAAATCTTTCGATGTAATTAAAGATATTCAAATGGTTTATATAGGCTTTTCGAGCTCGCCATGTTTTGACTTGAAGATGGTAAATTCCTTTATTTTACGATAGTTTTACAGATTAAGAAAGTTTGAATGAAAAAGTAATTCTGTCCTGGCATGCCTCGACTGGTTCTGAACGATTAAATTAAAAAAAAATGCGTATAGAATTGTTTTCTTGCTCAATTAGAGAAGAAAAAGAAATGGCGTATAAGGTGTGTAAGTATATGTCTGTGTTTAAGAGAAAGAAAGAAGCTAGGTGTGTGTGTGTGTGTGTGTGTGTGTGTGCAGAGAGGGAGGGAGAGAGAGAGAGAGAAATAAAGCGTTTGACTGACAGATTTAAAGAGATTGCGATAGTGAAGTGAACAGACTGAGACATTTTCAAAGAGATTAAAATCGTAAAATCCGTTGATAGAGAAATAGTTTTGAAGATATTGAAATGGATACAGAGCAAGGAAGCGTTAAAAAGAGTGTAAAAGAGGACAGAGTTTGAGCCAGGTGTTTACTATCAATTCTGGTTGAATAACGAGGAATTGTTAGTTTTTTAATGACTTCAGCGCATTCCACCTTTTTATTGTTTGTATTTGTGCTGATGGCAGACACAGAAAGATAACTACAGGAACACCAAAACAAGGCAGTGAATGAAAGCGAGAAGAAAGGACTAACTATCAATTGTAAAAAGACAGAATATACAGTTGTCAGCAAGAGCTTTTTGCCCAATCTGCTAATTACAAATTGGAGATGTCAAAATCAAAGTACACACACACACACACACATATATATATGTGTGTGTGTGTGTGTGTGTGTGTGTTTTAACAGGTGATGGAAAATGTGACAACGCAATCCGAAGGCGTACTGAATTATTTCTAAAAAATTTGAGTGTACATGGCTACAATTGTATAACTTCACACCCTGTATACCGCACTCCCTCATTAAAGATGTCTGCCTGCGTGACTGCTTGCAAACATCATCTGTTGGTATACTAAGCTCTTCCCACATCTTTTTTACGGAATGCCCTTCGCAAGTGTTTGATTGTTTTTAATAAAGGAATTCCATTATTTACATTACTCGGACTATTGCCCTCATCTTTGTCGCCATATTTATTACATCGTTTCGGCCGTTGTACGCTCCGGCTTTCTTCAGGTGGTTGGAATGTCGAACTGAACCCTTTATTTCGCTCACTGGGGTAGACTGTTCTAGTTCCACGTGCCATGTCTCAAGGACACATGGCACAGTGGATAAAGGCGTTAGATAGATCTAGTGACAGAACCCAAAGAGTGTGAGTTCAATACCTGGTTATGGTGGTGGAAAACTTTCAGAGGGGAATTAACAGGAGATAACTGACATCCATTAGACATGGCACATGGAACTATATATTCTGTCTTTTTACAATTGATAGTTAGTCCTTTCTTCTCGCTTTCATTCACTGCCTTGTTTTGGTGTTTTTGTTCTCAAAGACTTCATGAATTTAAGCGTGCTAATAGACTGGCATCTAGGTCCCACCCTTTTACCATTGAAATAGTTAAATATAACTGCCACTTCTACACCAACAGCTTCTTTTCTCGTACTTCTCATCTGTGGAACTCTCTTCCATTTACTTGCTTCCCTGATAACTATAATCTTCAAAAATTTAAATGCAACGTCAATCGCTATCTTCTGATGTCTTGAACCCCGTTCATCTTTTATCCCTTCCCTCCCCCCGCAGACAGTTTCTTATCTTCACCCTGTGTAACTCCCTGCAAACCAATGGCACTCCAACCTTGCTTGAAATGAAATGCTTATATATATATATATATATATATATATATATATATATATATATATATATGTGTGTGTGTGTGTGTATACGGTGCTGTGCAAAAGTAAGTGAACCCCTAACATAATATTTAAAAAGTTGTCTATTTTAAATCTTAATAAAAAAAAACTATACATCCATTAAGAAAAACCTTTCTCAGACAAATTACTACCACTTTCAAAATGTTTCATGAAGCTGGAATAAAAATTAATTAAAAATTTATAATAATGGTTCACTTATTTTTGCACATCATAATGTTTAATAAATAGGTGAACCATTAGATTTACACATTGTATTTTTGTTTTACATCGTTGCCAGTGCAAATAATTTTTTGTACACGTTTAACAATCAAAATGATACGTGTTCATTTTTTGGTAAGCGGTGTATACAGCAGTTTGTAGTGCATGTCTCCACCGTGCGATAAAATTATTTATAAATGGAAGGCCTTTGGTATGACGGTATTACAGTCAAGTAGTGGGTGTCTGTAAAAAAATAACTGCAAGATCAAGTTGACTATTTCAATGGTAAAAGGGTGGGACCTAGATGCCAGTCTATTAGTACGCTTAAATTCATGAAGTCTTTGAGAAAGTGCCTTGAGTCGAGATGCCAAGTCAGTTCGGTAAGCCCAGCTGGATCCTTCTGTGATCTCTGCGGTTCGCTAAGGATCCTTGGCCAATGTTGGAATCAATGTGCATACGTCTAAACTGCGACGAAATCTGAACGGTGCCAGTCTTCAGGGCAGAATATCTAAAAAAAAGTCACTGTTTACGAAAAAGCACAAACAATTTCAGATCAGTTACGTCAAAGGTCATATTAATAGGCAAGAAGTGTTCTGGCAAAAGGTTTTATGATTGGATGAGACTAAACTAAATCTATTGGGCAAGAACAATAGTCCGGCGAGCTCCTAATACGGCTTTTGAAGATAAAAGAATTTGGTACTAACAGTTAAACATTATGATTTATGGATGCTTTGTTGCAGCTGGAACAAGCAAAATATTACGCATTGACGGCCTAATTGACTCTGTACGATAACGAGCTTTTTTTTTGATTGAAAGTGTCTTACCCTCGCTTCGAAACTTGAGTTTAGGTCGGGAATTGGATCTTCCAATAGGACAATAATCCGAAACATCAAAGAAAATCTACAAAAAAATAGGTTCGGAAAAAAAGTCAAGTTTTGGAATTGGTCTAGTCAAATTCCTGATTTAAACCCAACTGAAAATCTGTGGCTCAAGTTGAAGGTAGTACATGCTAGAAACCCAGGTAATATCGTGCAATTGTGGAAATTTAGCCAAGAAGAATGGTAAAAATTGACTCTCACTATTGCCAGAAACTTCTTAAAAATTATAGAAAAAAAAAAAAAAACTGATCGACGTCGTGGCCTCACAAGGAAGAATCACCGAAAATTAAATGTAAGAATTCACTTAATTTTTCAGACTTTAATTTTTAATTAATATTTTTATACGACCTTCACAAAAGAATTTGAAAGTGTTTGTAATTCGTTTAATAAAGGTTTTTCTTAATGAATATATAGTTTAATTAAAATTTGTTGATTATCTGGAAAAAAGAGACATTTTTTTAAATATTATCTTAGGTTCATTTACCATTTGCGCAGCACGATATATATATATATATATATATATATATATATATATAATATATATATATATATATATATATATATATATATATATATATATATATATATATATATTATTGTGTGCGATGTGTGTATGCATACATATATACATATGTGTGTGTGTGTATGTCCGTATATATAGATATAAATAGGTAGATAGAGAGAGAGAAAAAGGGAAAGAGAGGGGGCTACATGTACATGGACGAGAAATTAACAACTATTTTGGGCAAGTCCATTACGTAATGTTTAGTATTTCGATTTAAACTTTTGAGTCATTGAAATAACAAAAGAAAAAATGGGAAAGAAAAAGACAAAGAAGTGTCGATGGGAAGGGTAGAAAAGGTGCAAATATGAAAGAAAGAAAGAAAAAAAGAAAGAAAGAAAAGGTCGAGTGAGTGTAAGAAAGAAAGAAAAAAAGAAAGAAAGAAGGAAAGAAAGAAAGAAGGAAAGAAAGAAAGAAGGAAAATTTGAGTGAGTGTAAGAAAGAAAGAAAAAGGCCAGTGAGTGTAAGAAAAAAAAAGAAAAGTCAATGCGAGTGAGTGTAAGAAAGAAAGAAAGAAAGAAAGAAAGAAAGAAAGAAAAGTCAAGGCGAGTGAGTGTAAGAAAGAAAGAAAGAAAGAAAGAAAGAAAGAAAGAAAGAAAGAAAGAAAGAAAGAAAGAAAAGTCAATGCGAGTGAGTGTAAGAAAGAAAGAAAGAAAGAAAGAAAGAAAGAAAGAAAGAAAGAAAGAAAAGTCAAGGCGAGTGAGTGTAAGAAAGAAAGAAAGCACAAGCATATTTTCTAAAAATATAACAACAGATCTTGTTCGTTTGTAACCCCGATTCTCCATTCTCCAGTCTTCACTCCCCGATCACAACTTTCAAATCGAACGCAAAGTGATTGAACTTTGGATACTTGTTACGAGTATTTCGATTACAAGGAGAAAAAAAAACAACTTATAATGCCCGAATTACCCTTCAGAGATGACCCCACCACTTTTTTTTTTTTTTTTTTTTTTTTTGTCTCTCTCTCAGGCTCGTCGTGTTACCCTCATAACAAAAGTTTCATTTCACTGCAAACTTTCGCTGGTGGGCAGTGATTCAAATTGAAAACTTCATTTCAAACAGAGTCATCGCCAATTTCATACTTCGCTGGTGCACGACTTTTTCCTTTAAATGATTCCCTTATGACTGTTTTGATAAAAGCGTGCAATAGATGTCGGTCATTGGTAACAGATTTCATTTGCCTTTTCATATTTCGTTCATCCCATGAAGGTTAACTGCGTATTTTGAGGTTGTCACTTCATTCTATAAAAATATTTTTTCTAAACCACAGACCCCTTCCCGAAAAAATCAGATACCTATATATATTTCTCAATATACAAACACGCATATATATATATATATATATATATATATATATATATATATATATATATGTGTGTGTGTGTGTGTGTATGTGTGTGTGCGTGCGATGTGTGTGTATGAATAAAGATAAAAGGAAAACTTACCTTAGCCGACTCGTTTCATCTTCTGAGGGAGTTCATTAACCCAAATGTAAAGTCTCTCAAAGGAAAAAAGGCTTCGGCTAAGATAAGTTTTCCTTTTGTCTTTATTTATATTGTTCTTTTACAGATATACCCTATTTGAAATTTTTATATATATACAAGGTAACAATTAAGCCACTATACAATTTTACTTATAATGAAATAAAAAACAAAGCGTAGAAACAGGTGGCTAGCGGTAGGAACAGTATCGTTAATTAATTTACTATTTACATTTACCATAGCTTTTTATGGTTATTAGCCAGAATTATCCAGAACCATTTTAATAATAAGTTTTTGGACTGTTAATTAATTGCTTTGTCTTAATTGTTATTGTAAATAACTGTATAGTGACTTTATTGACACATTTATATATATATATATATATATATATATATATATATATATATATATACACACACACACAGGGGTTGTACAAAATAATTGGAACACTTGTTAAATTCAAAGAAAATTTATTTAATATGGAGTTGGTTCTTCTTTAGCCTCACAGACAGCTTTAATACATCTAGGAATGGAATCATACAGCTTCCTGACTTCATCCAGAGGAATTTTCAGTCATTCTTCCATTAAAACCTTCTCCAGCTCTTTACAACACGACGGTGGAGGATAGCGGCTCCTAACTTGTTGCTCCAAAATGCACCACAAATGTACAATAATATTGATATCTTGAGATTGGGGAGGCCACTCCATGTGTTCTAGCTCACTTTTATGCTCTTCATACCAATTCTTAACCACTCGAGCGGTATGTATTGGAGCATTATTGTCTTGGAAGATGCAGTCACCATCAGGGAATAAAGTCTTGGCCATTGGATGAACATGATCTCCCAAAATGTTCAGATAATCTTTGCTGTTGATTCTACCATGCAGGGCAACGATTGGACTGAAACATTTCGATAATATGGCGGCCCAAACTATCACTGATCCACCTCCATGCTTCACTGTTGGAATAAGGCAGTCAGGGTTGTAAGCTTCTTTGGGCTGCCTCCACACATAAACTCGCTCTGAAGTTGGGAAAAGAGAAAAACTAGACTTGTTTGAGAATATGACTTGCTTCCATTGGTCTGCAGACCAGGCATTTTGATCTCTGCAACACTTCAACCTCTTTTGAATGTTGCGAGTGGACAGAAGAGTGTTCCTCACAGCGACTCTTCCATGATATGCAGACTTATGGAGCTCACGGTGAACAGTTTTAGTAGAAACTGAACTATTCAGAGGATTATTCAACTCAGCAGTCATTTTGGCTGCATTTGTACAATGGTTTGCGTTTCAATGCACATCAATCCCTGTCAGTAAGTTTGCACGTCCGCCCCGAATTGCTACGGTTGCTAGAGGTCTTGCCCTGTTTCTCGAATTGTATCAGTGTTCTTGATATGGTAGCTCTTGAAAAACCAAACCGTTCAGCAACCTTAGTGATCGAGGCCCCTGCCATGCGAGCTCCAACAATTTGCTCTATTTCGAACTCAGAGAGGTCACGCATTTAGCTTAAATTTTACTAAATTCTAAAAATAAATAAGGCAAAGACAGCAAATTAGATAAATAAACGTATTTACAATAGATATAACCTGAAATTACAAAGTTTTAGTTAAAGTTCTTAATATAATATGTCTTTGAAATATAGTAGTGGATATATATATATATATATATATATATATATATATATATATATATATATATATATATATATATATATATAAATGTCATCCACATACAGGCCTGTTTCGCTGTATTACAACTCACCAGTGCGACTAGACATGCGATTGCTTCAAACCCGAAACCCGACCGATCTGGTTATCATTCGGAGTTTCTACCCTTGACCTATCAGCGCACGGCAAAGGGAAATGTAAACAAACGCCAGACAGCCATAGTGCTGAATTCATTTTAATGAAGAGCGTTGATGAAGAGACGGCTGCAGTTTAGAATTGCCCTATCTCTCAACAGTGCTCAACCGAAATTATCGAGGGTATAATAATGTCATCGACATACGGGCCTGTTTTTGCTGTATCATAACTTCTAAGTGCGACTAGACATCCAAAGCCAGGACCGAAACCCGACCGATATATATATATATATATATATATATATATATATATATATATATATATATATAAACTCCCTGTTGGAAATTGCATATAACTTTTTTCTAATATCACCACATTTGCATGAAACAAAATATATTGTGATCCCTAAAGTGGTAGAATTTCATCACTAATTTCTGTTTTTATTTCAGAGTGACAGGTGTAATCAACTTCAATGATCAATTTACATTTACATACGCTCTATCTCTCTCTGTGTGTGTGTGTGTGTGTGTGTGTGTGTGTGTGTGTGTGTGTGTGTGTGTGTGTGTGTGTGTGTAAAAAAGGTTAACTCTCTGAGAAATGTTACAACAGACGACGGAAAATCTAACACGACAATCCTAAGATGTATTGCAATAATGTAACATGCCTTCCAAAAGCTAAACAAAGTATTAAGAAACAAGAAAATGTTATTTAGAAACAAAGAAAAGAGTGCTGGACTTCTATGTACTATCAATATTCTTATATAGCAGTGAATGCTGGACAATTTCCTCACAGGTGAAGAAGGGACATGAGGCAACGAAGGTGCTGTTCTACAGAAGAATGTTCTACCCTGGACCTTGGACGGAACATGTCGAAGTTTTAAATAAAATGGGAACAAAAAGCACAATTGAAAGAAAAAAGTTGAAATTCCTGGGACACATAAGGAGGAAAGAGGATTTGGAGAATTTTTAACACTCACAGGATATAATGATGGTTAGAAGAGATGGAAACATCGAGTAACGATCTTGTGTTAATGGATGGCAGAACAAAGACTGGAGAATTGTAAGGAGACAAATATTGCTTAGAGATACAAAGAATAGGAAGTTGTGGAGAGATATGATCTCCCACGTCTTGAAAGGACACAGCACATAAAAGAAGATTAGTAAAGAACGATTTCTCAATAAAATAAAAACATCCTAAGGCGTAGTAATATTAACTTTAATGTTTTTATTAGATGAAGCATTGACAATTATTGTTAATTGACGAGTATTGCTTTCATCTTAATTACCTCTTGTTTTTGTATCCCGTAGAAATGGTCTTAAATTATGTCAGTTGTTATTTATTTTGACTAGTATTTCTTTCATTTTAATTTCACATGTTTTTTATCTCGAAGTATGAGTAGTAGAAGGAATATTATCTTGAATGTTTTTAGCAGATGAAGAATTATCAACAAAGATTAGTTTTTGATTATTACTGGATTTTTTCATCTTAATTTTAGTTACTTTTCATCTATTTTACCAAGGCCGTCATTCTACGATCTTTACTAAACAGTTCGAATCGTTATTCTTTTAAAGATCGCCCGGGGATCCGATGAAAATCTGTGAAACAGGAATTTTTTCTTTGAACTTCATGAAATGCTAATTATATTTGATGGACAAGAAAGAATGAAATCCGTCAAAATAAAGATGAAGCTTTTTGATAAACATTTCATCTATTTGATCTCCAGACATTCGTCACCCTTCGTGGCGAATCACCATATATCTAACTTAGTATGCCTCAAAGGTACGTGAGTAGGGGACCCTGTGACGATCGTCCTTCATTCACAGTAATCAAGATTATCGAGACGAACCAATTAAAAACTCATTACTTGACGGCGAGACGTCCTGAAATATCGAATGATAATACTTCTTATTATTGTCAGTTTTAACGAGTTTTCGAAACAGGTTATTTTAAATGAGGTACAGTTAATATTATCTAAGTAACCCCCAAAGATTCGCTAAAAAGTGACCATACATTATGAAATAATGCCCCAAACTTAATAAAAATAAAGTTTTATCGTCAAAGTATGTGTTATTTTTAAGAGGACAGAACAAAAGATTTTTTATTATTAAGTAATATTTTTAATTTTTTTTTAGAACCTTCAAAGTTTTGGTTAAAAATGTATTTCTTGCGTTGACGGGTGACCATAAATTAGTCTTGAAAATTTTAACGTCTTCTTTGCGGAGAAAAACACATTAATTTAGAAATTCTTGCAAAAATCAAATAATTGTCGGGTTTAAATGAAACTTTCAGGATTTATTCACACATGAATAGAATTATTTTGGAAATATTTCCTGAATTACCCGAAGAAGACAGGAGTGTACAACGTCCGAAACGGCGTCAATATGGCAATAAAGATTAGGACATTAGTTCGAACTATGTACATAATGGAAATAAGTATTACTTTTTTTTTAGAAA